CTACCGAAGGCCCCAAAGGTTGGGCCAGAACCACTGGCATCTCTCACAGGCCAGCGGCGTGTTGGGCAGAGGAGGGAGGCCCATCCCCAGCTCCGTCTGGTCTTCTGAGCACCAACGGGGGTGGCCCCCAAACCAAAAGAGAAAGTGCCTCAGTGTCCCCACCTGTAAAGCAGGGATTTTAATAGTAGCCATTAAGTTTCCTGAGAATTAAATGAGTTCGTACTGGTAGCGCGTGGGGTGAGTCATGAACCTGTCCCGTGTGAAAAACATGTGAAGAAATGGGGTTCTGGGGCTGGAGTGATAGCACAGCGGATAGGGTGTTTTTGCCAACCCGGGTTCGATTCCCAGCATCCCATATGGCCCCCTGAGCACCGCCAGGAGTAATTCCTGAATACAAAGCCAGAAGTAACCCCTGTGCGTCACCAGGTGTGACCCAAAAAGCAAAAAAAGAAAAAAAGAAAAGTAACAGGGTTCCAGCTGGTTCCAACACCCAGCATGGCCCGACTCATTGTTTTCTTCACACTCACAGTGAGAGGAGAGGCTGCAAAACTGAGAACTTGAACAAGTCCAGCACTGGGGCTGGGAGGTAATACAGGGGTAGGGCACTCGCCTTGCATGCAGCCAACCTGGGATTGTGCCCTGGCACCGCATACGGTCCCCTCAGCACATTCATTGGCTGCAGTGGTCTAGAAAGGGACCGCTGTGGCAGCCCTGGTGCCCTTTCGATGTAACAAACAATATCTGGTTGTTGCCAGTGATGAATTTGCAAATGGGGCTTGGAAACTTTGTATCTTCTGCGATCCCCCCATCACTTCTAGGCTGGCTTCCCGGAGATCAAAGGTGACGCTAGCAAGAACCGAGAATGGAGTTCGTGAACTCTTATGCTTTGCTTAGCAAACCAGTATTTCCCAGTCACTTTCGCTTGGTGTGAGGTTTTAAAGCTCAAAATGCAGGAGCGTGCGAAAAGCAGAGTTCAGCGAGGGGGGAGGGCAGGGAGGCCTCTCAGAAACTCCGCTGGAGCCGAGGTGATTATTTACAATCTCCCCAGGCTCTCTCGGGCTTCCTTCCTCTCCGGACTGGCCTCCGTGTGGGCAGAGCCTTCCTGTACGTCCACCAAAACAACTAATCTCGATAGATCGGGGTCTGACCACTGCAGAGATAGAGAGATAGAGCCCAGCTCGCCGCACGAGAGATTCGCAACAGTTCACACGATCCATAGCGTCTCGCTTAGGTCTGTTAGGGAGCATGGGGCATCGTCTCCGTAAGGAAAAGCCACAGGTATCAGCACTCCGTGGGCAGGTTGCTTTTCAGTTTGTAAGGGTCTTACAGGCCTTTGATATCTCACCTGGCGAATACGGATCCCCTGAGCTAAGCCTGTGTTGGGGGGAATATCATCAGGAGATGTTAGGGGGTGGAAAAGGGGACCTGGCAGGCGGTAGAGCACCAGCTGTGCGTGCAGGACCCCCCAGGTTCTACTCCAGGTACTGCATGCCATCCCCACACACCACTGAATATGGCCTTCGCCCACCCCCGCCCCAAGGAGAGGGTGGACAAGGCTCCGAGGAATCGGGAAACCCAGAGCTGCCCCTCTGGAGCCTTGGGGAGCAGGAGTGTGACCTGGGGGGAGGGGGGAGCAGGAGAAGCTTGTCATGCATTGACCTTTACTGGTCCAGCAGTGATGGGCCCTGGGACAGAGACTGACCGCGGGGCATCCATGCGGACACCTCAGGCCTCCCCTCCGAGCCCACCGGGGCGGGGTGTGAACTCCTCGGCAGTTGCAAACATTTGTGGTCATTTTGGGCTGGAGCCCGTGCTCAGCTGTGTCAGCCGCTGGCCCTGAGAGCTAGAAGGAGCTGGGGGGGGCATCTTGCCGCCCCCCCCCCCACGCTTCTCCTCATACCCGTTCCCTTGACGCTGAGTTGCTGCGTCAAGGGCTGCCTGGCAGTGGGCACTCCGGGTGGTGGGTGCTGGGGCCGTCAGCTGGCCCGAGCGCCCGCCCAGCGCACTGAGGCAGGCCTGCGCTGGGAGAGGAAGTGCTGTCGGTTTACCAATGGGGTTATTTTCATAACGGCTGTCTCAGGCGGGGGGGGGGGGGGGGGGGCGGGGGGGGCGGAGGGCGCGGCAGGAGGGGGAGCTCGGCCGCTCGCTTGCTGCCTCGCTCGCACTCTCTCTCCAAACTAGGACTTGCTCAGCCAGAGGCTGGGCCTGGAGCACCCGCCCCGCAGCCCGCCCGGCACCCCAGCCCCTGCCGGCTCGCCCACCTTCCAGATCAGGTCAAAGGGGGCACCCCCCCCCCCAGCCTTTCTTTGCTTTGCGCTTCCTCCTTCTCTCTGGGTGGGCCGGGGAGGGAGGGTGGGGGAATCAGGCTCCTCTCACCCTGGAAGAGGGTCCTGAAAATGGTGGCAAAGGAAAGGGGTGGGGAAGGGGAGGTGGTGGTGGCCCCCACCCCCACCCCAGCCAGGCTGGTCAGCACAATGCCTGGTACCCGCCTGTTCCCCATTCCGTGTCTGCGTCTTGCTTGTCTAGGGGGGCCACTTGTAAGGAGCGGCCCCAGGCCAGTTGGGACCCCCCCTCACCCCCCTGACCCAGGCCTTTGGTCGGGGCTGCCGGAGGTGGGGCCCCTTCTTTGTCCCCTGCTCTGTGGTGCCTCCCCCTCAGGTGGCTCTTCCACCAGCTTCTGTTCCTCCTGCAACTGGTGGTCGGCCCCTGTGGGCTCCTGCTTTCCTCTCTGGGTGCCCACCCTGTCAGATGAGCGCATGGTCCCCGCAGGTCCCCCCACACCCCTCCTCCCTTGCCAGGTGTGGGTGGGGGTGCCCCACCTAGCCAGGCCCCTAGCTCCAACTGGCCTCACCTCTGTGCAGCTCGGCCTCCTGGCTGGGAACACTGCTCGGGGCAGGTGCAGCCTCCCGGCCCTGCTCTCCCTCCTGAAGTGCTCCTGGGGTCCTGTGGGGCACCCTACCCGCTAACAGCCCGCATCGCTGTGTCCTCTGTCCTCTTGGGCCCCCCTCACCCCGGAAAGCCTGGGGGCGCTGGCAGGACCGCGGGGGCCCGGTGACCTCTCCAAAGCTGCTGTGTTGTATGTGAGGGTGACAGCAGAAGGGGACAGGCACGGCCACGCAGAGCTGACCGTGGGAGAGGGCGCAGGCCTGAGCCGTGGGGCCCAGCGGCGCTCGGGAGTCCAGAGAGGCCAGGCGTTGACCGCTGGCCGGAGCAGGTTTCCATGGAGACCAGCGAGCAGGAAGCGCGGGGCGGGGGAGCTTGTCATAAAATGTCACATCAGCTCTAGCAGTGTCCTTCTCCGACAAACAAGGAAACTGAGGCCCACCAGGCTTTGCATGTGATCATGTGACCCTTGAGCCCCTGGACGGCGGGGGTTGCTGAGCTGGGCAGGCCCCTCCTCTGCGCAGGGCTGTGGGGCAGATGGGGGGAGGGTCTCCCTGCTAGTTCCTCTGTGTGTGGGCTTGGGGTGGCAGGCCGGGAGCAGCCCTCACCACCCCACTGACTGTGGCCTTTTGTTTGCTGGGTGACACTCGCATCAGGCGCTGTGTCCGAGTGACTAATGTCCTCCAGCCTGGGCAGCTGTCACAGGACGGCCTGACCAGACACACGGAGGAAACTGACACGGGCAGGGCGGCCGGCCAGCGCCTGGGCATGGCTTGGCAGCCTGGCCCCTCCTCCATGGCTGCAGCGCCAACCCCATCGGGCCTCCTGCCCAGTGACCTCGGGGCCTGAGGGGCCAGGGGTCGGATGAGATAAGTGTGGCTTGCAAGATGGGTGACAGAGTGACGGGGACCGACTGGTCCTTTCTCATCATCACCCCCCCCCCCTTGGCCTCAGCCTGGGGACCCCAGCGCAGGGACTCGCATCTCTGGCTACAGCCGCTGCCGTCTGGTCGGCCAAGCTCTGCCACTGGCCTTCCATTGGGCAGTTGGGACCAGGCCCAGGTGACCCCTTTGTCACCCAGGCCACCGCTGCCTGCTCCTGGTGGCCACTCCCTAAGGGGACCATGATCACCCTGGGTGGGCGAGGCACAGCCTGCCTAGAGCTCCTGGCCACGGCTGGTGCCAACTAGTCACCGCTTCAGGCATCTTGGGACACCCCCCCCCCCGTCGCTCTCCCCGCTCAGCTGCCCTGAGCCCCCCTTCACCCACCTACTCAGTGGTGCCCCCCACAGTCCAGGCTATTGCAGTGTGTACCCCCCACTTGGGGAGCAGTTGGGGTGAGGTGACACCAGCTGGAGTGGGCTGCGGCTCGCAGGTGGGGGGGCTCACCCGGGGCCCCCTCCTTTTCCACAGAGAGCACATTTGCCCTGGGGAAGGAGGTAGAACCTTCTGGGGCCTCATCCCCATGGTCAACCCAGGCACTCCTGCCGGAAGCCAGGCTCTTGTGGCTTGGCGGGTGGGGGGGTGGGGGGCTTGAGGCTGCCCCTGCAGGTGTCTGCGAGCCGGAGTTTCCCCCTCACTCTTTGATGCCCCCCCCCCTCCGCCACAGCCTGAAACCGGGGCTAGGTACTTGGGGGGAGGGGGGGGTCTTGTCTGGATTGTGTCTTGCAGAGACGTGCTTTTTCTCTCATGACTTGCTTTCTGTCGTGGGCCGGGGGGACCAACCACACAGCCCCGTGCCCCGTGGGGGGTTCTGAAAGTCTGGCTGGTGTGCCTTGCGCTCGCCCCTCCCCCAGCCCCTGAGAGTGGCAGAGCCAGATGGGAGCCCTTGACTTGCCACGTTCTCTCTTTCCCATCGAGGCCCGGCTTTGTGGGTTCTGGTTCCCAGACGGGGCGTGGGGACAGGGCCACGGCATCACAGGCATGGACAGTGGCCAGCCGCAACCTCCAGGGGCAGCTGTATAGATGTGGCTTCCCCCAGGGCTCGGAGGTCAGAGGTTGCAGACATCTCCTTCCTCCCCGGGGTCGTACTGGTACCCTTTGGGCTCCTGGATGCAGGCCAGGCCAGGACCGGTCCCAGCCCCTGACGGTCGGGGTCTCTGCCCAACAGCCGCCACCGCCGGGTGCCCTGCCATGGAGACCTTCTTTAGGAGACATTTCCAGCGGAAGGCGCAGGGCCCCGGGGAGTGCCAGCGGCGGCCCAGTGGCGTGGGGCTGCCCACTGGCAAGGCCCGGCGTCGCTCCCCCGCCGGCCAGGCCTCATCGTCCCTGATGCAGCGGCGCCGCTCCAGTGCCCAGCTCCAGGGCTGCCTCCTGGGCTGTGGGCTGGGGAGCCAGGACAGCCGCCGGCGCTCCAGCACCGCGCCCCCCCGCCCGCAACGCCCGCTTCGTCGTGGAAGAGATGCCCGCCACGCTGCCTCTGCCCCAAGGGCCCGCGCCCCCGCCCTTGGCCAGCCTTGGGGGCATGAGGGAGGAGGAGGAGAACAGGGCCCTGGTGGCCTTGCAGGGGCCCCGGCCTCTGCTGCCCGTGCCCCGGTGGCAGCGCCAGCGCCGCGCCTCCCACCTGCTCCCTGCAGACGCCGTGTCCGACCCGGCCCTCTGGGGCCTGCACGGCTACTACCGGCGTCTTAGCCAGCAGCGGCCCGCGGGCCAGAACCTCGGCCTCCAGGGCCGAAGAGCCTCGGGCACCACTGTGGGGACCCCGGTGCCCGCCCGAAGGCACCTCCTCTCCCGCAGGCGCCAGGTGGCCCTGCGGCGCAAGTCCCCTGGACCCCAGGCCTGGAGCGCCCAGCTTGTGTAGGTATAGCTGAGGCCAGAGGGTGAGGGGCGGCTCCGTGGGGCACGGCCCCCTGCAGGCCCCCCTGATGGCCAAGGGCACTTCTGCCTCCAAGAGTCTGTGGTGGACATCTCAGTGGCGGCGGCAGGGGCAGTGAGCTCTGGGGTGGGGAAGGCACCTGCTGCCTGGCCACCCTGGCCTCAGCTGTCCCTTCCCCCGCAGGAAAGCCATCGCCAAGTCGGGCCTCCAGCACCTGGCACTGCCGCCCCCCACGCCCGGCGCCCCGTGCACTGAGCCAGCCCGGCAGATCCCGAGCACCGTGGACTGGAGCGTGAGTGGCGGCTTCTGGCTTGGGGGTGGTCCTGGGTGGAGGGGCTGGGGGCGGTGAGGAGAGCCCACGGAGCTGTGGGGTTCCAGTGGGCAGTGTTGGAGGGTGGCGGCTGGGGACACAACTCCCTCCCTTCCACCTGCCACTCTCTGGGATGTGGCCCTGGAAGCCTCCAGGCACTGTGTTCTACCCCTCCTGTCCTCTGTGACCCCCGCAGCTTTCTCGGGTGGGGGAGGTTGTCCCTGGCAGCCCCCATGCCCCAGCACTGCCTGTGAGAAGAGAGGGGGGACCATGACAGAGGGAGAGCAAGGGTGGCCATGGCTGGCTTGCCAGGAGAGGCTGGGCAGGGCCGGCAGGTGAGGCGGATGCCAGGTGTGTGCTGATGTGCTCATCATTCCTGGGTCCAGGAATCGGCTACGAATGGGGAGCATATCTGGTTTGAGACCAACGTGTCGGGGGACTTCTGCTATGTCGGGGAGCAGTACTGCGTAGCCAAGATGCTGGTGAGTGATGCCGCGCCGCACACTGCCCCCTGGTGGTGGAGCCCCACAGGCCGACCAGAACGGGCTGGCGGCTCTCCCTGTTGTACCCCGCCGCTGTACCCCGGCCCGGGTGAGGATTTCTATCCCGGCGGGGGGGAGTGACCTGGTGCCTCAGGGGATCCCCATTTGCTTTCCTGCAGCAGAAATCAGTGTCCCGGAGGAAGTGTGCAGCCTGCAAGATTGTGGTACATACCCCCTGCATTGAGCAGCTGGAAAAGGTGAGGCAGGGGCCGGGAAGTTGGGCCGAGAGGTGCGTGCCCGAGGTGCTGGCTCCATCCCCAGCACCCCACGGGCTTCCTCACACCACCGCCCAGTGTGTCTCTGAGACACTCACCGAGCCCCGTGTAGACTCAGCTCCACTTGGTGTGGCCTCAAAACCAGCAACCCTAATGGCCTGTGTGGTGGCCCATTTCCTGCTCCCGTCCCCCCCACCCCGCGGGGGTGGACACCTACTCGGCACGCACACGCTCGCCTGCTCACGAAGCATGAGCAGCGCCTGCAGCGGTTCCCTGGGGGAGGTAGGGGAGGAGCTGAGGGTCTGCAGGGAAAACGCCTGCGTTAGACTCCTGGAAGCCCTTGATTAACGGCCCTGTTCCCACTGCCCGGGACAGGCCAGTAACCTGGCAGGCCCACTCACTCTGCCGGGTGAACAAATCGCAGGAGTGCCATCGCGGCAGCCAACACCTGGAGGTCCCATCGCTCGGTGGGGCTGGGCCCGGGGATGCTCCAAAGCCTGGCGCTGCCCCCTGCTAGCTGCCTCTGTACAGACCATTATCTCTGTGCTGCCACGACTGGACGCTGTGCTCAGGGCCACTGAGCCAAGCAGGGCTGCCAGGCAGCAGAAAGGGCCCTCCTCGGAGCCCCTGGGTGGTGGGGATGCAGGCTCACACCAGGGCAGTGGGCCAAGGCCGGAGCAGCAGGGCGTTCAGCAGGAAAAGGGGCGCTTTGCAGGAGAAAGCAAAGCCCGGGGGGACCCTGCGGGCAAGACTCTGCTGGCTGCTGTGCCTAGCTTGGGGCCACTGCGGATGAGGAGGGATGTTAGGGGAGGGCCATGTTTTGGGAGTGCTGGGCAAACAGCGCACCCTTAGCCAAGCAGGGTGGGGGAATCTGGGGGTGTGGGAGGGCTTCTGAGAGGGGAATTCCATGCTCTGTGGGCCCCTGGAGGATGGGGTGGCTGAATGAGCCAGGCTGACCTGACGCCCAGGATCGGTGCCCCTGTCTTCCAGATCAACTTCCGCTGTAAGCCGTCCTTCCGGGAATCGGGCTCCAGGAATGTCCGCGAGGTGAGTGCCTAGTGCCCCCGTTTCCTGGGCGGGATCCCCACGGCCCTGCGACCCAGGGAGCTGCAGGCCTCTCTGCGGCCCCACCCCTCAGCGTGGCGCTGGCAGCACCCCCAAACCCTACCTGCAACCTCTCTCTTCCCCAGCCAACCTTCGTACGGCACCACTGGGTGCACCGGCGGCGGCAAGACGGCAAGTGCCGGCACTGCGGGAAGGTGAGTGCCTGGGACCCCAGTGGCCGGCCCCGCCCTGCTTGGGCAGGAAGGAAGAAGGTCCCGCTGCGGTTGTGGGTCTGGCCAGTGCTGCTCACTCGGTGCTTCTGCCGCTCTGAGCGTGGCCAGTGCGAGCCCGGAGCAGGCAGGGCCCCCAGGGAGGGGGCGGGTCCCCGGCACAGGTGCTCAGGCCACTCCCAGCTGTGTCCTGGGCTCTGAATCCCCGGCCCTTGTGGCTTCTCCCTTTGTCCCAGCACCCCCGAGGGACAGGGGGTGGCAGGGAGGCACTTTCAAGGGACCTGACCAGGTGAGGGGGGGAGGGGGTGGGATAGGAGTGAGCTGTGGCCCCTCCGGTGGGCGTGGTTCTGGGGGCACCCAGGGTCATGCAGAGGAACCAGGAGTGCAGCACCCTGCAGGGCCGGGTGCTGAGTGTCCCCTCCCCCCCAGGGCTTCCAGCAGAAGTTCACCTTCCACAGCAAGGAGATCGTGGCTATCAGCTGCTCCTGGTGCAAGCAGGCCGTGAGTGGCACCCCTGGGTGGGGCCAGGGCGGGGTGTGGCCGCCCCCTCCTGGCTCAATCTCCCCCCCTCCCGCCCGCAGTACCACAGCAAGGTGTCCTGCTTCCTGCTGCAGCACATCGAGGAGCCGTGCTCGCTGGGCGCACACGCCGCCCTGGTGGTCCCGCCCACCTGGGTACTCCGCGCCCGCCGGCCCCAGGTGAGCCCCACTGCACCTCGGCTTACACACACGCCACGCTTGTGTGTGCGTGCGCACACACACACACACACACACACACCGCTGACCCCAGGTGAGTCCCATTGCACCTCGGCTTACACACATGTGCGCGCACACACACACACACACACACACACACACACACACACCACCCGCTGGTCCCAAGTGAGGCCCACTGCACTTTGGCATACACACACACACACACCACACACACACACACACACACACACACACACACACCCCTCCACTCCTTACACACATACACACACACACACACCACCCGCTGGTCCCAAGTGAGGCCCACTGCACCTTGGCATGCATACACACACACACACACACACACACACACACCCCACTCCCCACTCCTTACCCTTGCAGAACACACTCAAGGCCAGCAAGAAGAAGAAGCGGGCGTCCTTCAAGAGGAAGTCGAGCAAGAAGGGTCCCGAGGTTAGTCCAGGCTGGGGCGGGCCTGGGGGGAGGGGGAGCCCTGACCTCACAGGTCAGCGGGACTCACAGCCTCACACCCCAGGGCCTGCTCTCTGGCCGGACCCACTGTAAGGGCCACCCAGGGGCAGGTGGTGTGGGGGTGGGGCTGGGGCTGGGAGCTGGGGCCTCACCCGCTGTGTCTCCAAGGAGGGCCGCTGGAGACCTTTCATCATCAGGCCCACCCCGTCCCCCCTAATGAAGCCCCTGCTGGTGTTTGTGAACCCCAAGAGTGGGGGCAACCAGGTATGCACGGTCTCTTCTTCACTGAGGGGCGGGGAGTCAGACCCCTTTCTCCCCACAAGTACCCCCAGAGGTGATATGCGCTCCCCCCACTAAGATCCTTGGGAAACCCATCTGGGCTCCCCTTGCCAGGCTTAGTTCCCCCCTACACACCCCACATCCCTCTCTGGGGATCCCTGCCTCTTAGCCCACACCTGCTGGCCACCCCCTGTCCTCCCAGGGCGCTAAGATCATCCAGTCCTTCCTCTGGTATCTCAACCCCCGACAAGTCTTCGACCTGAGCCAAGGAGGCCCCAAGGAGGCGTAAGTTCTGCTGCAGCTCTGGGGGGGCACCCTGGTGGGGTACTCAAATCAAGTACCCACCACCTGACCTTTTGTGTGTCGTACCCGCACCCCCACCCCCAGGCTGGAGATGTACCGCAAAGTGCACAACCTGCGGATCCTGGCGTGTGGGGGCGACGGCACGGTGAGCCCCGCGTCTCTCTGCCTCTCCCCATTTCTCCCGTCTCCCCCCCCCACACCCCCAGCCTGAGCCTCGCCTGGACTCTGGGCTTCCCCTCCAGGTTGGCTGGATCCTCTCCACGCTGGACCAGCTGCGCCTAAAGCCGCCGCCCCCTGTTGCCATCCTGCCCCTGGGCACGGGCAACGACTTGGCACGCACCCTCAACTGGGGTGGGGTAAGAGTCTGGGAGGGGGCGTGGTACGGGCGGTCAGGGCGGCGACCCAGGGGGCTTAGCATGACCATCCGCCCCCCCACCCCCTGCCTCTCAGGGCTACACAGATGAGCCGGTGTCCAAGATCCTGTCCCACGTGGAGGAGGGGAACGTGGTACGGCTGGACCGCTGGGACCTGCAGGCTGAGCCCAACCCCGAGGCCGGCCCCGAGGAGCGTGACGAGGGCGCCACTGACCGGGTGGGTGGCCAAGGGGCTTCCCGCTTGCTGGCTAGCTCTAGGGCTGGAGTCTCTTCGTTCCCGGGTTGCTCTGGTCTCTCGTTCCCTGGCCCGGCTCAGTCGTGCCCCTCGGGGTCCCTCTCTGAGAGACCCCAAGGATAGAGCGTGTGGGAGCGTGCCCGGAGGCAGGCAGCACAGGGGTCCGGGGCTGTGAGGGCACGAGGGGGCCGAGCCAGAGGCGGCGGCTGCCCTGACGCTGCCCCTCCTCCTGCAGCTGCCCCTGGACGTGTTCAACAACTACTTCAGCCTGGGCTTCGATGCCCACGTCACCCTGGAGTTCCACGAGTCTCGAGGTTGGCAGCCTCCTCCCCCCAGGGCAGACGGTGGGCACCGGGGTGCCTAGGAGGGCTCCCAACCTGGGGCACCCTGACTCTTCCCCCCATTGCTCCTCACCACCAGAGGCCAACCCGGAGAAATTCAACAGCCGCTTCCGGAACAAGATGTTCTATGCCGGCGTGAGTCTGGGGTCTGCACCCCCACAACACCTGCCCAGCTCCTCCCTCCCCGCCTCCCTGTGACTGCCCCAGGCACAGCCTGCCCCTGATGGTGACACCCTCTGTCCCTGCAGACCGCCTTCTCTGACTTCCTGATGGGCAGCTCCAAGGACCTGGCCAAGCACATCCGCGTCGTGGTGAGCAGGCAGCAGAGACACGGGGATGGGTAGCTGGGGGGGTACCCGCCCGGCGAACCCCACACATACTATTCTTCCTGCCTTCAGTGTGACGGGGTGGACCTGACTCCCAAAATCCAAGACCTGAAGCCCCAATGCATTGTTTTCCTGAACATCCCCAGGTGAGATGAGACCCCCCTGCCCCACCCACCCAACCCTTGTCGTGCCCACCCTGGACTGTGCATGGAAGCCCCACCACCCCTTCCCCCAGGTACTGTGCAGGCACCATGCCCTGGGGTCACCCCAGCGAACATCACGATTTTGAGCCCCAGCGGCATGATGACGGCTACCTCGAGGTCATCGGCTTCACCATGACGTCCCTGGTGAGGACCTCCCTTCTCTGGCCCATGCACCTGGTGCAGTCACCCTCCCTGCCCCTTTCCTTCCTGTGTGGGTGTTCCCGCCGCTGGCCTGGCCACAGGGCCCTGACCCCCTGCTCTTCACCCCGCAGGCCGCGCTGCAGGTGGGCGGGCATGGGGAGCGGCTGACGCAGTGCCAGGAGGTGCTGCTCACCACGGGCAAGGCCATCCCGGTGCAGGTGGACGGCGAGCCCTGCCGCCTGGCGGCCTCCCGCATCCGCATCGCCCTGCGCAACCAGGCCACCATGGTGCAGAAGGCCAAGCGGCGCAGCGCGGGGCCCCTGCACAGCGAGTAGGTGCCGCCTGACCCGGGAAGGGGCGCTGGGCCCAGGGGCGCGGGGGTCCGGGCCAGGCAGAGGCCCCCTTCACCGCGCCTGCCCCCGCCACCTCTCCGCAGCCAGCAGCCGGTGCCCGAGCAGCTGCAGATCCAGGTGAGCCGGGTCAGCATGCACGACTACGAGGCGCTGCACTATGACAAGGAACAGCTCAAGGAAGCCTGTGAGTGGGCGGGGCTGGGGCGGACCGGGGCGGAGCCAGAGCGGGGGCGGGGCCTTGGGCACAGGCCGCTCACGGGCTCCCTCTGTCGGCAGCCGTGCCCCTGGGCACCGTGGTGGTTCCTGGAGACAGCGACCTGGAGCTTTGCCGCACCCTTATAGAGAGGCTGCAGCAGGTGAGCTGGGCCGGGCGGGCGCCTGCCAGGTGACTGTCTGGACCTCAGGCTCCCCGGCCCCAGCACGCGTCTCTGCATCTTCCCGCAGGAGCCTGAAGGGGCTGGAGCCAAGTCCCCCATGTGCCAGAAGCTGTCCCCCAAGTGGTGCTTCCTGGACGGTGAGTGGCCCTGAAGGGTTAGCGGCGGGCAGTCCCACACACGGCGTGTCCTGGGCCCGGCCGGGTCTCAGTCAACTCCTCTTCCCCCCTCCCACAGCCACCACCGCCAGTCGCTTCTACAGGATCGACCGAGCGCAGGTGAGCCCCAGGGACTGGGGTGCCCAGGGAGGGCCCCTAGAGAAGGCTGTTGGGTAGAAGGGAAGGTAGGAGGAGGCCTTGAAGTCTGAACACTGTCCAGGAGATGCCAGAAAAGGCCCTCTGGCCAGGGCAGGCCAGGCTGCTGTAAAGGCTGGGCTGGATGAGGCTGGCAAGCCTGGTGTGCAGGTTCAGGGGGTAACGAGCGCCACTTGCTGGCTGCCGCCAGGTAGCGCATCCCTGTGGTGGGGGCATCTCAAGGTTGGCAGTCCTGACCCACTGCCCGTCTCGTCCCCCAGGAACACCTCAACTATGTGACTGAGATCGCACAGGACGAGATTTACATCCTGGACCCTGAGCTGCTGGGGGCATCGGCGCAGCCTGACGTCCCCACCCCCACCTCCCCGCTCCCCACCTCGCCCTGTTCTCCCACACCCCGGTGAGCCCCGCTGGCCGGCGCAGCTCACGCAGCACACAAACCCCGCTCGCCCCTGTCACCCAGCTCGCTGGTCTGTTTGTTATTTTGGTTTGATTTTCGGGTCCCACCTGGCGATGCTCAGGGGCTAGTGCTGGCTCTAAACCCGGGAATCACTCTTGGCCGTGCTTGGGTGACCATTTGGGACATCTGGGGGTGTTGAACCAGGGCCGGCTGTGTGCAAGGAAAACGCCTTCCTCACTCAACTGTCGCTCTGGCCCTCTAGTCACTGGTCTGAGCCCCCCCCCCCACCGGCCCTGTGCCGCCAGCCGGCCCCATCATCTCCCCCAAGCGCCCCGTCTTTCCTGGTCAGCAGCCTCAGGCTGTGTCTGACCCGCATCTCTCCATCGCCACCCACCAGACCCACTCACCTCTCGGGGTCTCTGAGGCCTCGCTTGCTCCCCTCTGAGCTTGTCCTTGTTGCCGGGAACGCTCCCCTCCCGGGGCCCCCCAAGCTGCTTCTTGTGCCTGCTCTTCTCGACGTGGTACTCAGGCTCTTCTGCTCTGGATTTTTTTTTCCCATTTCTTCCTTGGCTCAGCTCCCATCTAGAATGACAGCTGGGGGCCGACCACTGGCTTCTGTGCACTGAAGCAGGCACAGCCCTTGGCCCTCAGAGACTCTAAGAGGATCCCAGGGCTTGCTCAGCCCCCCCTCCCCACCCGAGATGGTACAGGCGTGAGGTGCTTGCCTTGAACGTGGCCGATCCCTGATCTATGCCCAGCACCACATATGGCCCTCCAGGCCCCACCAGGAGTGATCCCTAATCCCTAAGCACCACCACGCATGACCCAAGGGAAAAAAGAATCAAGGGATGCCTGCGGGGTTTGGCTGCTCACCCCCTTCTCCCGCTCTGTCTGCAGGTCACGGCCAGGTGGTGACGCAGCCCCTAGAGGTGAGCCCCCCCCCCCCCCCCCCCCGAGTCCCAGTCACTGTCGGGGATGGAGTTGGTGGGGAGGGTGGTGCCTTCCCAGACTGGACGGCCCAGGGCCCTCCCTTACCCCAGTTGTGGCCTCCGGGCTCCCTTCCATGCCCCGTGGGGCCTTGGGCCTACACTTGTACCCGCACCGGCTGGGCCTCCAGACCCAGAATAACAGGCTCTCCTGGCAGGTGAGGAGCTGGTCGAGGCTGCCCAGAGGAATGACTTCTGCAAGGTACTAGCCCCAGGGTACCCCCTCTCCCGGGGTCCAGGAGAGTGGGACCCCTACAGGGAGCTACTCTTGCCGTGGGGGTAGCCCCATCCTTCCTTGGCCCTGTCCCTTTCCTACGCACAGTCCAGGTTCCTTTGCTGCTGCTGGCTGGCTGGCCTGTCTGGGCAAGTCCTTGTCCCTGGGGCGAGCAAAGCTTATCCACAGCCCCTCCTGGGAGGCCCAGAAAGTCCCCAGGCCCCAGGGAAGCAGGGCGGGAGGGACACGACTGGCAGTGTGGTCGTGGGGGTGCAGCTAAGGCCCTGAGAAACCTCAGCCCTGCTCTGTGTCCCTCCGGCAGCTCCAGGAGCTGCACCGAGCTGGGGGTGACCTCCTGTACAGGGACGAGCGGGGCCGCACCCTCCTTCACCACGCGGTCGGCAGCGGCAGCAAGGAGGTGGTCCGATACCTGCTGGAGCACGGTGAGCGCGCCCCGGCCCGCAGGAAGAGGGGCTGCCACAGGGGGAGAGGGCGCCCCCCTCTGACCCCTTCCTCTTTTCCAGCCCCCACAGAGATCCTTGATGCCGTGGAGGAAAAGTGAGTATCAACCTCACAGCACCCTGGGTACACCTCAGAGACCACAGTGTGCACCTCCCTCTGTGATCCTTTTGGCCCAAACTTCTGGGAGGGTGCAGAGGACTGAAGGACCCCCCCAACCCCTGTGCCCCCAGCGGGGAGACCTGTCTGCACCAGGCGGCGGCCCTAGGCCAGCGCACCATTTGTCACTACATCGTGGAAGCTGGGGCCTCTCTCATGAAGACGGACCAGCAGGTGAGTGAGCCCAGGCAGGCTCAGTGAAGGGGGGGAGAGGGGGCCCAGATTTCAGCCTGCGGGGCCCCTGGGCGCGCCCCTGCCCTTCCCCCAGCTGATGGCACCCCCTCTCTGCTGCTGCAGGGAGATACGCCCCGGCAGCGGGCTGAGAAGGCGCAGGACTCGGAGCTGGCGGCCTACCTGGAAAAGCGGCAGCATTACCAGATGGTGCAGCGCGAGGACCAGGAGACGGCGGTGTAGCGGAGCCCCGCGCCCACCTCACTGCCACATTCCAGCAGGACGGCCTGGGGGGACCCTGCTCCAGGGAAGGAGCCCCTAGCTGCACCCTGAGGAGCTGCTCGGACCTGGGGCTCCATTCCTGGGAGCTGGGGCAGTTTGACCTGCTCCAGCAAGTTCCCGCCCCAGAAGCCCGACCAGACCAAGAGGCTCCCAGGAACCGGAAGTTGGACTGAGCCCGAGAGGGGCTCCAAGGAGCCTGGGGACTGGAGGCGGAGGGGCGGAGGTCCCAGGAGGGAGCTTCCCAAGAACCCAGCCCCGGGGCGCCCCGACCCCGTCCTGCAGGGCTTTCTGCAGCCCGGCCTGCCAGCTGACCTGCTTGGCCCCCCACCTGGGCGCCCCCCTCTTGTACCCAGTCATTTCATCGGGGACTGTGTGGCCTGGGGGGGGGTGGGGCTCTCCCAGTGACATGTTTACAGCTGGGTGTGACTCAGTAAATGGACTTTTTTCCTTTCGGCCATTCTGGTTCTTTGTGGGGGAGATTTAACAACAGGGGTGGGGGAGGGGGGTAAACTGGTCTGTCCGCGGGGAGGGGGCATGAGAGCCCAAGGGCCCAAACTCTCTGCTGAGGTCCTGGCCCCAGCGGGGCGGAGCCGGGGGCCTGCCCAGGGCCTGACCTCTGCCCGGCCGCGGGGGGAGGAGCTGGCTTCCCGCTTCCCGCTGGGACAACAATGAAAACGAAAGAGGAGGCGGGGGCCGGCCGGCATGCGCCCCGCGCCGGGGCAGCCCTCTCTCCAGGCCCCCGGGCTCTGGTTTAGGACATCCGACGAGTGAACCCCGGCCCTAGGTCGGGGTGAGGTGTGCGCCTGCAACTTCGACGGCTCTGACGACCCGAATCCGGACCCGCGGATTCTCCGTCCCCACCACCCCCGTCCCGCGCCTTCTCCGGGGTCCCAGTCCCGGGCTCCCCGGCCCGGCCCGAGGGTCTCCCGCACTCCCGGGCGCAGCGATCCGAGCCGGAGGCCGGCACTTCGGGCCGTCTACACCGAGGGGCACCGAGGGCCGAGTAGGGCGCACGGGGTGGGTCTCGACGGGATTAGGCGCCCCCGGAGCCAGAGCCGCGCCTGCATCCGTCCTCCTGGTCCCCCACGAAGGCACCGCGTGCGGGAAGGGGCGCGGGCACCCAACGAGGACTAGGTAGCCGCGGGTGGGGGGTTGGCGGGGAACCGGGGCTTCTCCAGGGGCCGAGCTTCGGGGGCTAGGGCTTGGGCGGAGGTTTGAAGTCCGGGGAGCGAGGTTCAAAAGACAGGGCGCCGGGAAGACCGGGCGTCCGAGGGCGGAGGGCACCGGCGGGGCGGCGGCGGGAAGCCCCGCGCGAGCGGAGGCGGGGACGCCGGGGTCGGGGGGCGGCGCGGGTTGGAGGGGAGGGGGCGGGTCCCTCCTCGATGGGGGTGGGGGCAGGCGGGAAGGGGGCGGGGGCCCATGTGACCGGCTCAGACCGGTTCTGGAGACAAAAGGGGCCGCGGCGGCCGAAGCGGGACGGGCCCGGCGCGGGAGGGAGCGAAGTAGCTCGGGCAGCGAGCAGAGTGAGCGCGCGGGGCCCCGGAGGCGCGCGGCGGCCGCAGCCCCTCGCCCGTCGGGCGACCGCTGACCCGGGGAACCGCGGGGGATGGGGTCCGAGCCGCGTCCTGCGTTCCGGGCACCCCCGGGGAGTCTCCTGGGAACTGTGCACCCCGGTCCGTGGCGCGGGATCGGCCGGAGCATCGCAGCGACCTGGGGGCTAGGGGGACCCGGGAAGTGGGGGCGGGAGGCGCGTGCGCGCGGTCCCCCGCGGGGAGGCGGCGATCGGGGGGGCGCTGACCCCACTTTCCCTCCAGGATGCAGCTCCGAGGCGTCCTCCTAGTCGCCCTCCTCACCCTGCTGGCGTTCACCTCCACGGCCGCCAAGAAGAAAGGTGAAATGGGGGGCGGCGGAGGGCAGGTGAGCCCCCCCCCACCTCCCCGCCGGGCCCCAACAACGGGCTCCTGGAAGTTTCCAACGCGCTTTCCCGTTACAGACAAAGTGAAGAAGGGCGGCCCCGGGGGCGAGTGTGCCGAGTGGACCTGGGGGCCCTGCACCCCCAGCAGCAAGGATTGCGGCGTGGGCTTCCGCGAGGGGACCTGCGGGGCGCAGACCCAGCGCCTGCGCTGCCGGGTGCCCTGCAACTGGAAGAAGGAGTTTGGAGGTGAGTAGGGGCGCCGCCGCCCGGGGATGGGGTGGGGGGGGGGCTAGGCTAGGCTGCGGGGGGGCCCCCAGCCCCTCACCCCGCGCGCTCTCGCACCAGCCGACTGCAAATACAAGTTTGAGAACTGGGGCGCGTGCGACGGGGGCAGCGGCACCAAGGCCCGCCAAGGCACGCTGAAGAAGGCGCGGTACAATGCGCAGTGCCAGGAGACCATCCGCGTGACCAAACCCTGCACCCCCAAGACCAAAGCCAAGGCCAAAGGTCAGCAAAGTGGGAGGGGTGGAAGGGGGTGGAAGCGACAACCTCGCCACGCACACCTCTGTGTGTGTGTGTGTGTGTGTGTGTGCGCGTTGGGGGGGTGGAATCCTGGAGTTGGGGTCGTGGAGTTATGGGTACCTGCCCGGCGGGCGCCAAGAAGTAATCGGTCGGGGAGGTGGGATCCTGGGACACCTCGCCCCCGCCCCCTCCCCCAGGGTCTCTCTTGAGAAGGGGCCGGTGCCCCGGGAAGGGAGGGCTTTGTCATCGCCAGCCCGAGGCGCTTCTTTCTCCCGCCACTTCCCCAAGTCTGGCCTCCCGGCTTCTTTGCCCAGAGGCGAGTCCACCCCCTTCTGGGCTGCGGAGGCTCCTTGTTCAGGGCCGCTGGGACGGCCGGGTCGCCCCCACTGGAACCGGGAGGTTTGTGATCCCCAGGGGGCGCCTCGGAAGTGCGGGGAGCCGGTGGGCATCATGGCTGCCCGGGCCCACCGCTTGCCGGGCAGCACCGACAGCCACTAGGGGGCAGGGCAGGGTTTGGTCTCCCCGCAGTGCGGGGAGGGGGCTTGGGGGGGAGGGGGGAGGGGGGAAGGGGGGAGGGAGACCTGCTAAAACCAAGTCTCTTTTTAACAGCCAAGAAAGGAAAGGGCAAGGAGTAGTGGCCAGGCCCAGATGCCCGCCCCATGGAACCGACCAGTGCCTTCCGTCTGCTGTTAGCTTTATCAATCGAGCCCCGCTGCTTCCCTGCCCCTACCCCCAAGTGCCCGGAGTGGGGAGAGCCAAGGGATTAGGGGAGGGGGGAGACGAGGACTTGGGCCTCCCCCCCCATGGGATTCGGTTCCCTAGACCCCCTTTGTTCTCCCCCCCCCCCCAATGATGCCATTACTAGGAAACAAATAAACCAAACCATGTTTTTCCCAATAAAAGCTCTTGTTTTAATATATAAAAGCCCCTTCCCAGGGAATTTGCTGTGGTGGTTTGTTGGGGACAGGAGGATGTGGGGGGTGACGGCGGGACTTTCAGGTCTGGGACCTCAACGCTGAGCTCCCTGGAACTCTCTGATCAAGATTTCTCTTAGGGTCCCATCCCCTACCCCCGACTGGCCCCCCAAAGTGCTCGCCCTCAGTCAAGTCTCCTACGCCTTTCCCTTCTGTCTCCAGAGGCCATGGGCCGGGAGTGGGAAGGAACCGGAAAAGAACCCGGAAGATTCGGGCGTGGACACCTGCGCCCGGCCTCACCTGGCCAAAGGTCTTGAATCCAGCCCACTGCCAATCAAATCCCGGGTTCTGTCCACAGGCTGAGGAGACAAGGGGTTTGCATTGCCTCCCCGTGAGTCAGGCCGTGCTCTCTCCCGGGCGTCCCCGCCTCAGCCGGCTCTGCCAGGACCCAGGCACACAGGAACAATAAATATCCACTTCAGGGACCAGGACCAGCACACAGGAACAATAAATAACCATTTTAGGGACTTGCCCTCTGGTGGGGGGAGGAGAGGGGGGCCCCGCACAGGTCACTCCCTGGGCAGTGCTGGGGTTGGGGGTAGCCTCGGGACCCAGTCTGCTGGTGGCCTGCACCCCCACCCCCAAATCAGAGCCTGAGTAGCTGCAGTGAAGGGGTGTCTTGTCCTGGAGGTGGATTTGGGAGGAGGGTTAGCCTACATGCGGGGTGCGGGGGGGACAGAAAGCACCGGTGATAGCAGAATGGGGAACCCTAACCCTTGCACTCCCTTCCTGAGCCCCCTTCCCAGCACTGGTCCCCTGGCGCCTCCAGGTGCAGATCTTGGGGCGTCTACGCCCTCCCGGATGTTCTCCAGTCATGCTGGTGGGGCAGGTGGCCGCACAGGCCAGGGACCCTCCCCCCAGTGCCCTCCTCCCTAAGGCAGGCCTGCAGGGATGGCCCAGTGTCCCGACCCTTCTTGGACCCCCGACCCACTGCAGCCTGAGCCTTGAGAGAAGGGCTCCCGGGGACCTCGCTTCTCTCCAGCGAACATGAGCGCGGGCGCTGCCCTCACGGGTCTCTCCCATGTGGTCCCCAGCGCTCGGCCACCAGCCGCTCCTCGGGCAGCCTGGCGCCTACCTGGCGGTGCCGATGTTGCGGTACTGGCACAGCAGCAGGTGCCGGAAGGTCTTTTTGAAGGTGGCGTTGCAGAGCGCGTAGCAGGCGGGGTTGATGGTGCTGTTGACGTAGCACAGCCAGTAGCCGATGGACCACATTGTTTCGGGGATGCAGCTCTGGCAGAAGGTGTTCACCAGGACCATAACATTGTAGGGCGTCCAGGTGAGAATGAAGGCCAGCAGGATGGCGAAGATGGTCCGTGTCACCTTGCGCTCCCGGGCCGCCATCTGCCGCTTCTTGCGGACCTGGTTGCGGGCAATGCTGGCAAACTTGCGGGCCACGTTGGCAGCCGGGCGCATGCCGGCGGGTGTGGCCGGCACGATCTCGATGGCCGTCACGCACTCGTTGCCCGTCTGCTTCGTCACGATCTGGATTTTGGACCATTTGGAGGCGGGGTGGAGGGCCCGGGGCTGGAGGGAGGGTGCGGGCGTGGCGGGGGTGGTGGCCTCTGTGGTGGGACAGCTCCGTGAGGGGTCGCTCCTTGGTGTTCTGGGTGGCACTGCCTGAGCTGGACTCATTGGAAGTGTCCTTGTCCGGCACGGGGCGTGGCGGGGGGTGGCAGCGCTGGGGGAGGGGCCTCCTCCAGCTTCCCATTGCGCATCTCCTCTCGGGCCGCGACCCCGGGCGGGGGCTTCTTGATGCTCTGCTTCATCAGGGGGCTCTTGAGGAAGGCCAGCGTCTTGGCCTTCTTCTCCTTGGGGCCTTCGGGCCGGTGCTTGTGGACCCGGCTGCGGCTGGCCAGCGAGATGTGGATGTAGAGTACCGTCATGATGATGACGGGCAGGTAAGAAGGCGGCGATGGCCGTGCCGAAGGTCACCGCCGGGTTGGACAGGAACTGGATGAAGCACTGGCTGTCTGGCACGGTCCGCTTACCCACCACAAACTGCCAGAACAAGATGGCGGGTGCCCAGAGCACGAAGGACAGGACCCAGGCGGCCGCGATCATGAGGCCAGCCATCTTGGTGGTGCGCCGGGCCGGGTAGGTGAGGGGTTTGGTGACGCAGAAGTACCGGTCGAAGCTGATGATGAGAAGGTTCATGACCGAGGCGTTGCTCACCACGTAGTCCAGGGCCAGCCACAGGTCACAGACCACGGCACCCAGGGGCCAGTAGCCCTTGATGATGTACACGGTGTAGAGGTTCATGGAGAAGGCGCCGATGATGAGGTCGGCGCAGGCCAGGCTGAACAGGAAGTAGTTGTTGACGGTCTGCAGCTGCCTGTTGACCTTGATGGACAGCATCACCAGTATGTTGCCCACCACGGTCACCAGGCTCAGCGAGCCCGTCACCGTGGCGATGAAGACCATCTCTACCGTCTCGTAGCGGTTCTGGGCTGTCACCAGGCGCACAGACTGGTTCCCTGCACTGCCGTTGTCTGGGGTGAAGTTTGCCATCTTGCTGAGCAAGGGGGTGGGTGGCTGGTGCCTGGAGGAGGAAGGAGAAGACAGAGGTAACTTGGGGAGAAGGCATGGAGGGAAAATTCAATGGGATAGATTGCGTTTGCCTGGCCGGAGCAGGTACATCGGGTAAGGCATTTGCCTTGCACACAGCCAACCCGGGCTCAATCCCCGATACCCCATATGATTCCCTGAGCCAGCCAGCAGTGATTACTGAGCACAGAGCCAGGAGTAACCCTTGAACGCCACCAGGTGTGGCCAAAATAAATAAACTGGAGTTGCTCCTGAGAACTCAGCCCTGCACCCCCACTCAGAACTTATCCCCTCCCTTTCCGAGTGTTGCTGTTCACTTGCTTTGTGCCCACTGGGGCAAACACCATTCTGGGTTCTGGGTGCTGGGGTTGCAGAAGCCAGGGAATATATAGTGAGACAGACACACAGGAGTAACAAGAGAGTGTGTTGAAGCAAACACCCCGGGTGATGGCTGAGTGTCTGAGTCACACGCCAGCCAGACAGGGAGGCCTCCGTGCTGGAAATTGGAGGACACAGTCCTGGGATGAACCGGATGGTGCCCTGGTCCAGGGCTGGGGCTAGAGGCATGTGAGGCCTCACAGGATATCAGTGTGGAGGCCAGGAATGAGGGCGAAGGTGTGTGGTCCCAGAGTCATCGCTCATCACTGACTCCTTTGTTCATTCATTCTCCATGTTGGTCTTTTCTTAGTTTCCTTGGGGGCACACATGGCAGTGCTCAGGGGGCCACAGGTACTGGGAATGGAACCAAGGACTCTTGCATGCAAAGCCTGTGCTCCTGTTCATTGAGCTATCTTGCTGCTGCACTCCCCTTTCTCCTCCTTCTCCTCCTCCTCCTCCTCCTCCTCCTCCTCCTCCTCCTCCTCTTCCTCCTCCTCCTCCTCTTCTTCTTCTTCTTCTTCTTCTTCTTCTTCTTTTGCATTTTTGAGCATGCTTGGGGGTGCATGAGGGTCTCTCCTATGATGCTCAGGGAACCATAGGGTGCCAGGGATTAAAACTGGGGCCCCTGGTTGGAGAGATAGTACAGCAGGTAGGTGTTTACCTTGCATGTTACCAACCTTTCATGTATTCAATCCCCAGCACCACATATTGTCCCTTGAAACTTGAAGGAGCAATCCTAGAGCACGGAGACAGGAGTAAGCTCTGAGTACCACCGGATGTGGGCCAAAAAGAAAAAAACAAACTGGGGTTCCTGTTTTGAGCATTTCCCTGGCTCCTACCTGGGCCAGACCAAAGACAAAAACTAGACAGCAACACACAGGTACTGTCCATCCACTCTTCATGTGTCAGCCTCACAACAAGTCTAGGGCACAGAGCTATCACCACTTACAGAGGAGGAAACTGAGGCACAGAGATGTTCCATAACCTGACCCTGGTCCCACAGCTCCTTGACAGTTTGTCCACGAACCCAAAGGTCCACCCAAAACAGTGACATACCCTTGGGAGAAGGCTCCTCGTGACACCCCCCCCCCCCCCAATCGGCCTCAACAGGGTCAGAGGAAATGAAATTGAATTATCCCTGCTCTCCAGGAAAAAGGATGAAAGTCATGTGGAGAAGTGGAGAAGCTTAAGGGGTACACATCACTGCAGTGTCCCCTCATTCCTGGCCTGGGTTGCCCACTCCTGCTCTGTGGGCAACCAGGGCCTGAGAGGCGTGAGAATCCAGCCCCTCTGCTGAGGATGGCCACACATGGCGGCCAAAGGGAGAGAATATCCTTAGAGGAGGGGCCGCCACCCGGGAGAACCCTAAGGGGGCTGCAGACCCATCAGGACGTGCCCACCTGGGATCTCCCAAGTGCAGACCCGCCCCCAGCCCCACACTCCTCCCACCCTGCTCCTCTTCCTCTCCTCCCCCTGTTCCTCTCCCGGCAGCGTGAGGAGCCCACGCCCAGCGCGCACTGTGCCAGGGCAGCCGCGGCCCAGCCTCCTTCACACCCGCCAACACGCGCCCGTTACACACGCACACGGCCCCACTGGGCGCGCTGTCGTCTACGCAATCGCCTGCGTCTGTTTGTGAGAGCAAGAGAGGGTGAGGCCGCAGCACAGGAAGGAGCCTCGCGGGGACCCCAGGGGTCTCACTGCTCGCCAGAGACTAACTAGTTCACCTGCCTCCCCCTGAAGCAGAGAGAGGGGGCTCCTTTTCAGGAACAGCCTCCTGGGCAGCGGGCGGGGTCCTGCCACTCAGCTCCATCTCCAGGCACAAGAAAGAGGCTAGAGCCAAAGCTAGGGAGATCCCTTTCTTCACCAAGTCTGGCTGCAGCCCCCCTCACCACCCCCATCCACTGTCACCCACACAGAGGGCAGCCTCCTGGCTCCGCTACCAGCCAGCTTTGCCAGTTCCAAGGCCCTGGCTTCAAGGTGGTCCAACTCCAAGGTCACCAATGAGTCAAGGGCAAAAGCCCAAATAGGGCCCAGACAGGGTCTTCACAGCCCCTTCCAGCTCGGAACTCCTTCCATAGGGAACGTTGGGGAGGCCACCTTGGGACTGGGAGTGGCAGACCCAGCGTCAAGGGCTGCCCTTCGTGGGGGCACAGGCAGGGCAGAGGGCCAGAGCCGTCAGGAGCCCCAGGGAAACTCTCCCCGAAGCCAGGAAGATCAGCACCCTGGGGTTGGAGGGGCTGAACATGCAAGCAGAGAACAGTGCTTGTTTATTGAGTGGTAGCTATGAGTCAGGATTCCCTCGGAGCTTTTTATATAGATTATCGGGTTGAATGCCGACAAGCACCCGAAAAGGCAGGTACTATTAGTATCCTCGGAGCTCAGATGTAAGCAGTCTCTTACAGATGAGGCTGATGTTAATTAACTTGCCCCGAGTCATCTTCTTTGTAAGCAGGGGCGGGACGGGACAGAATTAGCACCCCGGAGCCTCCTTCTAAACCCCCATCCTCCGAGATTTCCAAGCTCAGCTCCTGCAGCACACAGCCAGGGCTGGACCTGGGAGGTGGGTGTCAGGGTCCTTCCATTTCTTGGCGCTGTCCCTTCTCAGCTTTCCTAGAAGAGAGGGCCCTCCCCCTTGTCACCCCTGCAGAATCTTCTTCCCACCTTGGGGCAGCTGGTTGGTCCCATTTTGGATGGCCTTGGGAGCCAATAGCAGGCAAGTCGGAAAAGAGTGGCTCAGGATTCCTTTCTCTCCCAATAAACTTTATGGACCCCTGGGGAGTCTCCCGCATTTAGAAGGAGGTATCTCTGACAGGTTTCAGGGGTTCCAGGCCCGCCAGGGAGCTGGGGAGCCGAGCAGCCGGGCAGCCGCCGCCCAGGGCTGGACACACCACTAGGTGGCAATGTCGGTCCCCGGGTGCCAATTCCGGACCGCACCAGGCGGCGGCTCTGCATCACCGCCCCCAACTCCAATGCTAACCGCCGAAAGCCCAGAGGAGGCCCCAGGCCGGGCCTCCCGGGAGAGAGGAGGGGATGCGCTCCAGGTCCCGCTGGGGAGCTACCCTGAGCTCGGCGCGCGCGGGGTTCAGGGGTGGAAAAGTTTAGGGCGCCGGGATTCACCCGGCCCCGAACGAGGAACCTGTGGGCGGGAAGGCGAGTGCGAGTTCTGTTTGTGTGTGATTATTGGGGAGCTCGAGTAGAAGCGAGTAGCTGTCAGCATGCGCGTGTGCGCTCGGCCACGCCTGGATACCAGTGCGCCCGGAGCGCGTGAGCATGCCCGCGCCGCGGGGACACGTGCCCAGGCCCGCGTGTGCGTGCCGGGGGTGCGGCGGCCCCGGGCGGTGCACACAGATTCCGGAGGTTCCAGTACCTGGAAGCTGGTGCACGCGACCCAAACGCAGGGCCCGCCACGTTCCACATGTCCCGGGCAGGAGACGAGCGCGGAAAAAGGTCGGGCGGGTCGCGGGCGTCTGGGCCAAGCCGACTGCGGGAGAAGGGTCGCGGGCGGGCGGACCAGGACAGGCCACCGTCGGGGACGCCTCATCTCCCTCCATTCCACCCCTCCCCCAGCCCCAGCCCAGTCCACACCGCCAGGCGCGGTCTTGGCCGAGTGCCCCGTGGTACCCGGGGACCACGCTGAGTGACCTAGTCCCGGCCTCGAGCTGACTTATGTCGAGGGGCCGCTGCTGAGCCCGGTGCGGCCGTGCGGGACATTCCTGCTCGGCTTCTTGTCCCGACTGCGCGGGACCGCGAGCGCGCTCCCAACGCGCTGGCGGGAGAGTGCGAGCAGCACCCCCAGAACGCGGACGCCAGCTGGGGTTTGGGTCCCTGGAGTCTAATATTCTCCCCTCTTCTCCTTCCTCTTAACCATGCACCCGCGGGAGAGGCGCCCACGGCTCCAGGGGACGCCCCCTGTTCTCAAGCTCCGGCCTAAAATGGGCCTCGAGAGCGCTTGGGAGTTAATCTTGGGACCACCTGCAGGCTACTCCCGATCTCCGGCAAGGTCCATGCGCTTTGGGGTGACCCGCCCTCCCCCACCCCCCAGCACGCATCTCCTCTGGGCGTAGGCACCGCGCTTTCCCGGATTCTCGAGCCCCCCTCCCCCCGCAACCCCCTTTCCCAGAGGATTCGGGGGCTGAGCTCCGGACACCCCGGGGCGGGGGATTGGGGTGCGGGTGCCCGTCTTAGGCGTTGACTCTCGGACTCAGGGAAGGCGTGGGGTGGGGAGACCCCGAGTCTGTTCCAGGGCCGGGAGAGGAGCCCGGGAGTTCAGGGCAGAGAAAACAGCGCTGGGAATGTGGACCCCGCACCGCGCCCGACTCTAACGCACCCGGCTCGGTCTTGGCCCAGAATTTCCGCCGCAGCTTGGAGCCCGGGCAGCCGCGGGGGGCCGTCCTGGAGTGTGTTGGCGGGGGGAGGGAAGACGGGCAGGCACAGGGGTGCTTTCCGTCGGGGTTCAAGGTCGCTGATGGAGGACTCCGGGGACCGGAGTGGGCCGGCTACGCCGAGGGGCTTGGGGAGGGAGGAGGGAGGCGGCGGGAAAAGGGCGCTTTGGGGCTCCAGCGCTCGGCGCCCTGCAGAGCTGCGAGCCTGAGGGTTGAAGTGCGGGTCCCGGTCCCGCCCCGACGGCGGCTGCCCCTGGCTCGGTGGGGGCTGTGGGCGGGCACACCCCCCGACCTCCTGAATGTCCGCTCCTTGCCGGCGGCGGAACCTGGAGCAGCTTGCGAAGGGGCGCCGGGCCTGCCTTCCAGCGGGGATCCTCACCGCCCGGCCCTGGGTGCAGCAGCCCCGCTGCGCTCGCCCCTGAAGGAGCCCGGGGCCGAGTCCGGGTTGGACCCGCCTCCGGGGAGCCCCGGAGGGTTCGGGGTACCCCGCGTCCTTCTCGCCCAGTTGCGGCCCCCGCCCCCGCGCCGCCGCGGAGTCACTTACCAGACACCTCCGCCCCGCTCCCCTCGCGCCGGACAGACGGCGGGGCCCGGCGGGCCGGCGGGCGGGGCGGCGGCGGGCTGCGGGCCGGGGGCGGGGACGGGGTGCCGAGGGGCGGCCCCTGCTCCGCCCGCAGCTCCCTGCGCTGTGGCTCCGACTCGCGCTCACGCTCGCACTTTTCCCCCGAGCCGCGTGATGTCACGGGGAGGCAGCCAATCCTGGAGGGGACGCGCCGCCCGCCCGGGGCCGGCCACCCAACGGCGCGCGCGAGGGGCACCACCCGGGGCGTCGGGGACCCCAGCGCCCAGCACCCTTCATGGGAACCGGTCGGCAGCGCGCGCTCGGGAGCGGTGGGGGGCACCACCCACAGCCTCCGGTGCTGCTTTGCGGGGGGCGCTGCCCTCCTGGGAGGCTGGGGGTGGGGTGGGGTGTCCGCGTTGTCATGGGGACGCGGCGCCCCCTCGCGGGCTGGGGAGGGAGCTGGCAGGCCCGTCTGCCTGAGCTCCCCGCCTCCGCTCCGACCGAGCACCCTGGACCCGGGTGGTGGGTCTCGCGCCCGCCCGGACCTCCCTACCTGGCCCAGCCTGGAGTTTGGGGCGCTAGTGCTTGAGGCCAGGAGGAGGAGTTGGTTTTTGAGACCAGTAGGAGGTTAGGGATGCGTGGGCTGGGTCTGCCTCTGCAGTTCCGTGGGGGCCAAGGAATAGGCAGCCTCGGGGCCGCGCGCTGCCCCGGCAGCCCGAGCAGGGGTCGCCGTCGGGGCCTAGGAAGGAGCTAGAGCGAGGAGACGGGCGGCGGGACCGAGGCGCCCACCCTTGGGGCACAGCTTCCACCCGCGCTTCCCGTCGGGGGCCCGGCTCCCGCGCTCCAGGTCTGGGGTGGGGTCCACCCTTCAGACCTGGTCTGGGGGACAGCTACCTCGAGGGAACGCCGAGAGCCCAAGGTCACCTGGTCCCCGAGGCAGAGCTGCTGATGTCTAGGTGTCGGGGAACCGCAGTGGCCCGAGCCTCGCGGCCCGGGCGTCCGCTGGACCGGGCCCGGGGTTTCAGCACCTCGGAGAGCTCCGGCTCGCCTCTGCCCTCGCCGGGTGCACGATCTGACCCGTTCCGCGCGCTTCCGCCTCCCAGAGTCAGTCCTTCCCGGACTCTCCAGCCCTTCCCCGGTCGGTCGGAAGCGTCTCCCAGCCCCAAGCTCGGGTCCGAGCCAGTCACGCCAAACTCATCTAGCACAAACACCAATTAACCTTAGGACGGTCCTTCTCTTGGATAAACAACTCAACCCGTTTCTCGCTGGCCTCTCTGCCCCACAGAGGTGCGTGGAGGGGGGGTTATGACAGGTAGGGGCTCGGGAACAGCCTCAGAGCTGCGGACAAGAGCTAGCGCTGTGAGATCTTAGCATGGGGTGATGGCTAGGATGAAGATGGGGTTCACAGCGAAGAGTTGGAGTTGGCTATTGGAGCAGGAGTGAGACGCCTTCAACCTCTCCTGACCTGTTCTTTTATGAATTGGGAACTGAGGTAGAGGGAGGGGTCCTAGCCCCTCTCCCCCTTCACAGGGCAGGGAATACCGCTGGCTTATATGACAAGTGGATGACATTCCTGCACTCATACCACCTTGCCACGTTTTTCTAGAGTCCAAGAGAGTGACAGGGAAGCCGAATACAAAAGGTCAGATAGGCAAGATCACAGAACTATGTACATTGCCTCATGCTCTTCAGGCAAAGCTGCTCTGGCTTCTCCCAGGCCCACTACTCAGGGCCCCCCCAGTCTCCGAACCCATCCAGAGTGGAGAGCCAGAGAGTTGTGTTGGGAACCTCCAAACATGGTTGTCACCTTAGGTCTGCCTCTGATTTTTTTTGTTTTGTTTTTTGCTTGTTGGGTCACACCCGGCAATGCACAGGGATTCTGCACTTGGGAATTACCCCTGGCGGTGCTCAGGGGACCATATGGGATGCTGGGAACCGAACCTGGGTTGGCCGCGTGCAAGGCAAACGCCCTACCTGCTGTACTATTGCTCCACCCCTCTGCCTCTGATTGTGATGGGTCCACAGGAGTTTTGTGTTGTTTTGACTTTGAAGTCATACCCAGTGGTGCTCAGGGCTCACTCCTGATGGGGCTGGGGGACTGTATGTGGTGCCCGGGATCAAACTGGACTGGACTGACCCCACTATACTCTCCCCAGCCCTTGTTCTTTTCTTTTTCTTTAGGCTACACTCAGTGGTGCTTGAGGGTTACTCCCTGACTGCCCAGGAGTCCCTCTCAGTGTTGCTTGGAGAATCATGTACTGGCTTCCAGGACACAAAGCCTGGGTACACAGAAGTGTGAACCTCTTCACTTCCAATGGGACATGGGGTTCCACTCTACCTGCCGGCTGCACTCTTCTGCCAGGCACCGGCTTGCAGAAACTCAACCTGGGGGCTCTCAGGCATCTGCTCCAGACTTGTTCCTGGCTCTACAATCAGATCACTCCTGGCAGTGCTAGGGGGAACCATATGGGGTGCCTGGGGGATTGAATCTGGGTTGGCTGCATGCAAGGCAAGTGCCTTAACCCCTGTATTATCTCTCCAATCCCCCAGCCATCTACTTTTTTAAAACAACAGAGCTGGTGTGGGGGTTGGAAGGAACAAACAGGGGCCGCCAACAGGCAGGGGCTGAAATCACCCTGGCCAGAGACGACAGCACTGAGGCCAGGCAGGATCTGGACTCAGGCCCCCTTTCTACTTTTGACCCATGTCAAGAGGTTCTCAGGGGTCACTTCAGACAGTGCTGGAGTATAGAAACTGGGCCTCCTGCCTACTCCACCCGGTTAAGCCACCCTTAGGCTCCAAGAGCCCTTTTCCCCAGCCATAGCCTTGCTCTGCCAGTTGCCAGGTCTGGGCTAGCACCTTGGAGGGTTTTTTTTTAATTTATTTTTTTGCTTTTTGGGTCACACCCGACGATGCTCAGGGGTTATTCCTGGCTCATGCACTCAGGAATTGCTCCTGGCGGTGCTCAGGGGACCATATGGGGTGCTGGGAATCGAACCTGTGTTGGCCATGTTGGCTGCGTGCAAGGCAAACGCCCTACCCGCTGTGCTATCGCTCCAGCCCCTGGAGGGTTTGTTTTGAGTGTCTTTAGGAACATGATTACTGTGTCGGAGATAACTCTTCAGGTGTTCTCTGAGCCACCAAGGGTAGAAGGAAATCCTCAGAGGGGGTGAGTGACCCAGAGACATTACACATAGAATGCTTGGCACACAGCTCACCAGCAACAGACATAGTCCCCGCTTAGAACAAGGAGCCATTCCTGCCCTGGGTGGGAGCAGAGGATCCCCCCACCCCCCACCCAGTGCCCAGCTCCATCCCACCTCCCGGAGCCTGCCCATAGCTCTAGAACTCCGTGGGCCTGGGGAGGGCAGGCTGAACATGTTGCAGGGGGAGAGTGAGGGGAGGAAAGGCCAGTTCTTAGCCAGGTCACATGGTGAGGCTGCTCAGTCCAGAGGCCACTGATGCCATCTAGAGAATCCAAGTGTTGCTAATGCACCTGGCACCATCTAGTCTCTGTCCACAGCTCTCATTCGAGAGGCCCAGGACAACAGGAAGTGCCAGGCACACATGATACTCAAGCACATGGTGCTGGCGAAAGCCCAGAGGCTATTTCCCCGCTCTATTTTTCCCTCCACTTCCCAACTGGTTGGAAAGTGCGATCCAGGCCCCAAGATGGTGGCCTTTGACCCACTGTGGGGGTGACACATAGAGAACAGAGTCCATGGCACCTTGGGGTGATTTCTCTAGTCAAGACTTGGCTGTCTCCGGGCACAGCCTGCCCAGACCCCCCTCGAGGCAAGGACTGGGCTTTGTGGCTAGTTCTCCCTTCAGTCCATAATCCTGACTGGACTGGAAAACCATCAGGATGAGTGGGACATTACCTTCGTGGCTTCTGCCTTGGACTCTGGGCTCCTGGACTGGTCACAGCCCTGGGAATGGGGCCTTGGTCCTGTGACCCCGTCCATCCCAGTCACCACCCGCCCCCCAGACAAACGAGAGAGGAGGCTGGCGAGGGGCACGTCATCATTTTAATGATATAGATCTTTGGTGTTTCCCTCATTAGCAGTCAGACTACCCCCTCTCCTCCCACCACAAGGTTTCTATGATGAGTTACAAACAGAAATCACATTTTCATACTAAAAACAAAAGAATCAGAGCCTTGATTTTGCCACTAGAAACTACACGTACAGTTCAAGGTTCCACATGCAACACCGTAATCACAGACCAAGACCTCACACTCGGGCCTGGAGGCCTGGAGCTGGCCTCGGCGGCGGCTCGGTAATACTGACACCACCGGTGCTGCCCTGAGGGAGAGGGGCTGCATGGGCAAGCCCCGGGGGCCGGCCAGCCTACACCCCACTCCGGCGTGAGGACCTGCCCACAGCACACTGCCCCTCACCCCACGGTTGTGCCCCACTTGTAAGTGCTGGAGGCCCCTTTCCTCGGGACGCGGGAGCTGGGGGTCCCATCCGCTGTGGTCTCTGGGGAGTGCGCCAGGAGGCAGGGCTGCTGTTCAGGTGGGCTTGGAGAGGAAGGCTGGGCAGCGCTGTCTCTCTGGCCCACATCTGAAAGACTTCACCCTTCTGGGTCCCTCTGGACCTCTCTCCACCCCGGGCTGACCCTGGGGCCCAGCTTCTGGGACAAAGGGTGAGGGTTTGTGGTGGGGACACCCCCTGGCTCCTCCACTGGCGCTGAGCACGGCAGCACAGCTCTCTCTGCTGGGTGACCAGAGCCTAGAAGGTTCCAGTGCCCCAAGGTCCGTCTGGCCCCTCCACTGACTCACAGCTTCCAGTCCACCCCCCACCCTCTTTCCTGAGCCCAATGCAGCCCGCGGCTCCTCCGGTCCAGTCCCCAGTCTGTCATGAGGTCCAGCTTCTGCTCAGCGGTTCGAGGGAGGCGCCGGAGCCCGCGATGGTCTCTACCTGTTCCGCGGCTCCCTACTGGGGCCTGCCGCATCCCCCCTGCTGCTGCCGCCCCCGTCGGGCTGGCAGGCATTACTGGTCAGGTCGCAGTGCAAGGCTGGTCCCTCGGTGCTGGGAAGGGGGCCGGGGGCGGGGGCCGGGGTGGAGGAGGGTAGGGGCGGCTGCAAGGGCTCCCTCCCGGGGGCCGCAGGCTGGTCCCAGGAGGCTGTCCGGGGGCTTAGGCCTTGCTCGGCCAGCGGCCCCGGTTCAGGAAGCAGTCCCCGCGAGGTGGAGGGCTGGGGTGAGGCGGCGCGGGTGGTGGTGCTTGGCTCCGTGCCCGT